GATTAAATGAAAAACCACTACCGGGACATCTTTGCATGTAAAAGAGAAACAGAATAGATTGACTATTAGTCATTCAATGAGCTAAGTGAATCATCAAGACAGAGGAGCAACGCGTCTGTGAAAGAAAAATATGTATGAGAAAGTACCCGTCAAGCCCTAGCTCTGCCCAGTCCTTAAGCAGTTCTCTCTCCAACCTCCAAAAGTAATGCATTAGGGTAACAGGATCCTCTTCACAGTGGAGTCACTGATTGCCAATATACCAGAAGTTTTCAGAAGAAACTTCTTCAGGCTAGATTGACGCAATTACACAATTTTGTTAGTGGTGAGAGTAACACACTAGAACTCTCTTGAAAGCTCAATGTGATATGGGAATCTCTAGGATCTCTTGTTGCCATCTTCACAATCCTAGACTTCAAATAAGCAATCTTATACATGACCTTTAACTTAAAAACATTACTGGATTCTAAAGGAGGAAGTATGTCCATTTTCATCCTTATAAACTTACTAAGGTATGATGCTAGGCAGGTAAACACTAATGTGTTTCATATAACTCCAGATGACAAACCACTACTAAATTAATTTTTTAAAGAAATAATTTAAAGATAACTGGTGTTCTTGTTTTCACGTCGACTGCCACTGAAATTCAATGACCTATGATTCTATATTTGATATAAACAGAAGCCTGGTCAAAAAAAAAAATCCCTGCTTGAACAACAATAACTCAAATACCACAAGTCCAGATTCCTGGGGATTCCAGTGAAGTTCCGATTCAACAAACATGCATTAACTGAAAAACTAGGCGAGGTGTTGGGCAAACAATGTGAATGAGCCTTCAGAAAGGCCGGACTCTTTGCAAGGAGAGACTTAAGCAAATGATTACAACAGAGTATGGTATCAGAAGTATGTGCACTCTCATAAATGGGGAAAACATCTCAAAGGTAACGTAACAGGCAACTCAGTCATCAGATCAGATCGTTATGTGCCTCTCAGAGCGACGTATATGAGAAGGCTAATCACATCCATCGTTAAGTTGGGTGTGTGGAGAAACGGCCACTCACGTGTGCTGTTAGGCAGTTACACTTCCGGAGGACAGTTTGAAAAGATGGCTGTTTAAAATTGCATATTCTTGGACCCCGAAATTCCACTGGTTGTGGTTAATGAGTAGACTATAGTTTCACTAATCAAAGGAAATATATAAGGAATCAATTCACCTCTAGGAAAATGGTAACTTCAGTCTGATAAGATACACTTCCGATGCCTACAAGATATTCGAGGGGAAGTATAAACAGCTGGATACATAATAACCAACATTTACTTAGGATACATGCCAGTCTCAAACATACATTATTTCATTTAATCTCCCCAAAACTCAAACAGGTATGTACCCAGAGGAAGGATCAGGAATCAAACACAGCTCTTAACCCAAAGTTCATCATCAATCTGCTCTCCAGCCTCCACAGGTTTGGCACCTGTCAGAAAGACCGGAGGTAGAAATACATTTGCAAGGCTGTTTTTTTTTTTTTACATATTTATTCAGCAGAAATTTACTAAGTACCTAATGTAAAACCTAAGGATACCATGAAAATAAAGGTACATTTTCCATCCTCAGGGAATGGTAACAGAGAGACATGAAAACAAAAAATTGCAATACGGTGTGACAGTGCTAACAGAAATGGTTAAGAGGAGTAAGACTGACCCCAAAAGGAGAGAGCGGTCAATTCTGCTTGAGGGAAGAGTCCTTGAGAAAGCCTCTAAGAAAGGAAGATAAAAGCTTAACCATGATTTTGAAGAATGAGTTTTTAAAAAATCTCCTAAGTGGACAGGGGAAGCAAAAAAGGAGGGACACCCCAGAAAAAGGCCATGGCATATACAGAAGTACCAAGGCCCAGGACAGCACAGTCAGGTCAAAGAAATGCACGCAGGTCACCGTACTGATGACAGACAGTGCCCTTCAATCATCCCAGGCTCTACCACCCACCCGTTTCTCAAGACATTGAACAGGATAAAGGAGATACAAAGTTTTCGTCTGTGTGGAGTCTCATTTCCCAAAGAAAATTCTTCCAACCTCCCCTCCAAACAGAATTGGAAAGGCACAGGACAGCCTGCTTTGCCAATCAGGAGGGACAGTGACATGGTGACCACCCTCTCGAAAACAGTTCCCCACAGCATTGCTATTGACCACCTTCTCCAGCCTTTCATTTTCTTGGTGGCATTTATTACAACCTGAAGTTACGTTGTCTGCTCATTTTTTTCTTTGTTTAGTGCCTGTTTCCTCGTTAGAATACGAGCTTCAAGAGGCCAGGGGCCTCGTCCATTTTATTCACCACTGTATCTTCAACAGTGCCTGGATAAGAAAGATACTGCAAATATTTAATGAATGAATAGTTTTATCTTATCCCAGATGTAACAGATTATTGCAAAAACTAAAACAAATCAAGATAACATTTCACTGTTATAAGATACTCAGTATTTTGTTTAATATTTATAAATAGCAGCCTAAGCCCACTAATTTTTTTTCACTGCAAATATTTGAAACAAAGCATGTCTCCAAAATAAACACCTCAAGAGTTTAACTCTGCTCTATTCACACTCAGATATTTCATTACAGTATCTCTGGACCAAAGAGAAGCTAGAAATTATGGATAAAGTGTTACACCCACTACAAATTGATGTTTTGCCTCAAGGAAACATGCTTAAGGAAAAATAGTAGGAAGCTGTTTCATGCTTAAGGAAAAAGTCCAAGTCCTGCGAATAACACAAATGTCTAAGTAGAAAGAAAAAAGTGACTAATGTTATTAGAAAACAGGTAATGCTTGGTATCTGTAAAAAGGTCACTGATTTTTAGAAATCAGTATCACTGATGACCGCTGACTCCGACCAGGCTTTGCCAGACCGCATGTTACATAAAAGGCCCAGAAAGGCAGCGTCTTGGAACCTGTTTAGCCAACTGGCCTTTTCACTTTCAGGTTCTTTTCAGCTACCAACCACTATTTTCAGAATCACAGGTTTCAGGCTCCTATGTCACAAACGAGATGGTCTTCTGCCATCATTTTAGGCTTCAGAAAGATGGAGGGAACTAATATCACAGGTTTAGCGATGCCATTACTAACCTAATTAAAGGTTTTGACATAAACAGCAGATCAAGACTCAAGAAGCAATTTGAGTCCAAAATTGAGGAAAAAATTTTACTATTCCTATGACTCTATTTCAAGACTAATAAAGGTTCAAGTAAGACCTAAATGTTGCCTTGTCAAATCCATTTCTCCACATAAATGCCGTGCAAAATGAATCCACTCTAACCCTTTTTATGTGGGAGTCACAAAAGCAGCCTTTAAATGCCTCTAGGGATACATTTATTTTCCTCAACCAAGTGTTAACACAAATAAATGGAGGATTTACATGTAATCCCTAAAAGCAGATAGGCAGAATTATTAACCATGCTGTAACTTTTTAACTAAGCATTTTATTTCATCACACTTGCACAATTGGGCAATTTTAAGGATACAATTTTTAAAAATATGAGATACAAAATACTGTCCCTAAAATTTTAAAGCAGAATTTCCAGGATTACGTATTCAAACAAGTGTTTTCGTTATTGGAATATTTTGGTGAGGTTTTTTTTTTTGGTTTTTGTTTTTCTTTTTCTTTTTCTTTTTTTTTTCAAGAGTAGCCACTAGAAGTAACTAAACACTTTTCCATCAGTACTGCCATTTCTGAGGAACATTTTGTTCCACATATCTGGCAACTTCTGCAAAGTCAGTTTATAAACTGTCCTTTTTATGTACAAATGGACATTAACACTAAGAAAACGTGCATTTACTCATAGGCGAGAAACAATATAATAAACGGGCTAAAGGGTGAGAATCTTTTTGTTTGTATTAACTCTCACTGGTGACTCAGCCACCCAGAACTGCGCTCTTTCCTGGGTTCCTTCAGAGTCTGATGAAAGATATCTATTTCTCTGATAAAAGTATGCTTTAGACAAAATAAATCAAATTATTAGAAAAAAATTAATCAAAGACAGAATTTATATGATTGCAAAACGTAATAGCCCGTTTGTGGTGATCTGCATTACCACGTTACCAGTATCATGAATTTAAAAGGCACACTCCCCTTTAGAATCCTTTTGCCCAGCCATTAAACTCTAAAATAAAACCAACACTTCCTCACATACAAACAAGATAAAGGTGGCAATAGACAAGGTCTCAACTACCAAAGGAAAATGAAATCGCTGTAACCCCAATAAGGAAATGCATTTCATACACTTAACAGTTACCGTTCATGATGAAGTTGAATCAAGTGAAATTAATAGGACCACTTAAGAAAAAGGGAAAGCAGAAACCAAAAAACTTCACACCAAGAGTCAATGATTCGCATACTCTAAAACTGTTCTCACCAATCAGTAATGTTTGCTCCAATCAGTGATATTCTTGTCTGCCAACTACTAGGCCAAATGGTGGACGTCACATAACTGCCTCTAGCTTCCTCATATTCCAACTTCACTGATAAGTCAGGAGGAAACTGTTCACAAGTCAACCTGTGCTTTTAGGCTCAGCTCAGTTCGGCTATGTCTAAATGCATCCCATTTTTTACTGTACAACTCATAAGAGATATGCAAAAATAAGAACCATACCATTCATGTGCCACCGCCCAAACATAAAGACATAAATAACCTCTTATTAACATTTTGATGTATTGACATGGTCACCTGCTAGAGCTTCTTTTCTTTAAAACATCCTCATTTTTCTCCCTCTTCCTTCCACTTACTTTCCTCCTAAAGATTTCAGTATTGAAATATCTGGCTACCCATTTTTCCCTCACCAAGAAAACCCCTTTGGGAAGGAGCAGAGCACCGCGGTATTCCTGAACAGAATCCCTTCAGCTCTCTGGTGAGAGCCCTGTCCCTCCCGCTCCTGCGCGCGCAGGCCCCGCCCGCGGCCGCTGGGGTGGCCATGGAGGCCGACTCCACCAGGCGATGCTGCCTGCGAAACGTCACTTACTGTGCCGGGCATGTGACTTCTCTCGTTCTTCCCATTCTGAGAGCTGCCGTTCTTGAGCTTCTTTTTCTTTTTGGCTGTTTCTTTGTGCTCTTTCTGCTTGTTTTGCACTTCAATGAGAACAGAGATAAAGCTGTTTTTCACTTCCTTTTCAAACTCCAGTTCATCTCGCAGGGCCAGCTGCTGCACCAGCTCTTCAGAGTACTCCTTGATGGCCGTCTCAATTTCTTCCAGCAGTTCATTTAATTCCGACACTGACAGCCTTTTCACCCCTATAGCCAAAAAGCAGAGCACAGCAGGCACTAAGACCAAAATGCTTCAAGGCAGCACAACGAGGTGTTCAATGCCAAAGAGCAAAAGATCATATTCTAAGCAATTAAACTTTTTGTGGTCTTCTCAGAATCCTCAAACTCCTGGTGGGCAGGTCTGAGTAGAGGTAGGTGGGCAAAGTTACGTCTCAAACGGCTGAGAAGAAAAGCATAACAAAATGTTTCACTTGTCTAAAAAACAATAATTCCATGAATGGTACTTCAATCAAGACTGAAAAGGCTCATGCAAGAACAACAAACAATAGCAGAGAGAGAGTTCAGAAACTACTTGCTGACGAGAAATCGCAAGCAACGTAGCAGGGTTCTGGGACACTTGTGAAGAGAGAAGTCAATTTGAAAGAATTGCACTAAGTACGTGGTTAATCACATATGCCCCCAACGTGTAATTTTATTGAGGATTGGGCAGATGAAAGGGAAGAATATTCCCTGAAGCCGCATTTCAGTTTTTCCTCAGCACTTCCCTTTACGCGAGACAGGACATTGTTCAAGTCCTAACTCCCAGCACCTCAGAATACGTCCAGATTTGGAGACAGTGTCTTTAAAGAGATCACTATGTTAAAATGAAGCTGGTAGGGTGGGCCCTAATCCAATGTGACCAATGCCCTTAAAAATAAGATTAGGACATAGGAACACACAGAAAGTCCACATGAGGACAGAGAAGAGGCCTCAGAAGAAATCAGACCTGCTGACACTTTGATCTCGAACTTCCAGCCTCCAGAACTGTGAGGAAACACATCTCCATGGTGGAAGCCACCCAGCCTGCGGTACTGTTACAGCCGCCCAGGCAGACAAAGGAGGCAAAGATGAGTATGACGCGGCCCCTGAGCAACGGCCTGCCTGGCTATGCCCCAGTACTAGTGAGAGGCAGGGGAGGGACGTGCAACCCAGCCTGCGAGAGGCAAAGACTCCTGGAGACCGTCCCGCTACGTGGGTGCGGCACACGAGAGCACACAGAGCCCCGATCTGAGTCAGGTTTCTTACTCTCTTCGTAACTGCTTGTGCTAGACCTCTTAAGAGTCTGAATTTCCTGGGAAAGCATTGAAAGCCGATCTGACTGGGTGGGCGTTTCATCGTCTTCTGGGTCTGGTGACTCCTGCATCATTTCTTCAATTTCTTCAATCACCTTCCAAAACACACAAACCACTGTTAATCAGGTGAACACAGGAGAAAACATCCGTCTGCAGAGCAGCCCTCACCGGAAGCAGCCAGAGTAGAAGTACGCTAAATCCTCCATTAACCAACAGCGTGCACACGTGGGTGTTGAGTCATCGTTAGTTTGATTTGTAAGAGTACACATGGTGTATCCCCCCAAAATTTACAACATAACTAAATGCAAAATAAAACAGAACATGATGTAATAGGTCCATCACTTCGTGTCCCACGTGGGGTACCAAAAAAAAAAAAAAAGTCCATCCCGATTCAGTAGACGCTATCAGCTCTTGTGATGTCCAAGAAATGGTGCCACAAATGCACGTATGAGCTACTTCACACATGTCAGAACCAGATCCTAGCTATACTTAAAAAGAAGCCGGTGACAGAAAGTTTACCATATACCACGTGCAAGTGCTCAGTCTAAAGCTACGTAATGAAATTGACACAAAGTTTAGAAAATACAACAGTGTACAAAACTTACATGCAAAGCAAGATACTACCTCTATGGCAGCAAAATTTTCCTTCAACAGCAGACAAAGAATTTCATATATTAATTCAATGAGAGATAAGTGGGTATTAAAAAATGACCTTATATGTAGAAACTCAAAACAAAAAAAGCTGCATGAAAGCAAGACAATTTCAGAAACGTATCTGCCTTTGAATCAATGATCTACTGTCACACACTGGGTTGCTCAAATCTTACAGCAGTTTCTTGCCCTGTTACAGATTCCAAAAATTAAGAACATAGAACTCAGTGAAATTTTAAGGAAAACTAGAAGAATTACTCTGGACCTAAGAGTTTTTAAAAAACTATTAGAAAAAAATACGATATGAATCAGCAAGCTTAACGTGTAACATTTGTACTAAGTGAAAACAGACGTAAACTTGGAGTGGAGGTTGAGTTAACCAGTAAGAAGAGTTCAAAATAGGCATTTTAAAAAGGAAAATGAGACACTGAAAGAGGCTACAGACTCTGTTTCAGTCTTAAAAACAGGGTTAGCTTATGGCTTTTGGGCAGATTACGGAGGAGACAACAAATGCCCAGGGTCACATCTTCCCCTGGAAAATCAGGCTCTACCACCTTCAGCCCTCTAACTTACTATCGTGCTTTATAAGCACCATGTGCTTTCCAAGGTTAGGACTATTCAACCACAAATATGACTAAGGAGCATCAAAATGACACATTTTTAACCTCCCAACCTTGCCATAATGTATCTTTACTGACCTCATCTTTCCAGCCTAAAAATACAGTGTGGTAGAACTCACAGTCCCAGCAGCCATGGAACACTTGATTTCAGGAAGAAGTTCTCGCACCACGTTTTGACAATACAGCACAAGTGGGAAGAGTATTCAGAAAATGAGAATGCTGACTCAACTGGTTTCAGATGAATACAGGGTTGACATTATTAGAGCATTCCACAGGAATAATGCTCACTTCTCTCTGGGTGCACAACATGGACTTCTAATAAGTGCTAATGCTTTTTCACATAAGTTTTAGAAAAACTAGATATTTACGTAAAGATACAGTTTGCCCATGTCTGGCTAAATCTAAGGAAAGAAGAAAATTCATGGTATTTTTTTCTGATTCCAGTGTAGGCAATAACCCTCCTTTAGTAACCCACTGTACTGTTTTAACACTGCTTATCTTGGAAAATTGCATATATTGAAAAAAATCTTCCCAGCTAACACAGTCCATCTGCTTCAGATTACATATACTTTCTTCTTTCCTCAGGAGCTAATTGTTAAGCCTATATAACCAGAAAGTGCAGGAAAAAGTAAATTCCAACAACCCATCACTTAGGGCCACAATCAAAAATCGCTTCTTAGCTCAGGGTTCCCTCCCTTCGTTGATGGGTTCTCCCCGGTACCTGGTCTGCAGTGAAGAGGGGCTCGTCGTTGACACAGGAGACGATGATTGAGTGCATATCCAGCTGTTCTCTCAGCTCCTCGTCATCCGAGGTATCAAAGAACAGGCTGTCACTCATCTAAAAACAAAAAATACCCAGGGTGAAAAGCAGGACATTCTGATCACAACAGTCAAAGTGTCTGGGTGAAGGAGGCTGCACAGGAAAGCATGCTTCTGCCAGGAGCTTTAAAGTGGAGATGTTACAACAGCTGCTCTGTACAGGCTGGGGGTGAGGTGCTCTGCATATTCATCTCAAACAGAAATGAGAGGACTGTGGAATGAATATGAAATTGCTAAGGTGCTGCACGCCTCCCCTATTGTCTGATACAGACACACACTTAGCTGTTTACTCCACGGGGAAGAGCGTCTAGAAGTACAAAGATACATGGTGTTTGTTAGTAAGTTGTATGGAATTACAGCAAATGGAGATGGGGGGGGTGGGGAACAGGCAGGGTTAGCAGCAAATGTTATTAAATTAACGATCTAATAGTAAGATTGGCATATGTTAAAATTCCACAGAAAACATAAAGTTGATTACTCACAAACTAACTTCTAACAGAGTGAAAGATAAATAATCAACTCCCTGGCCAGACGGGACCTGTCCACAAGGATCCTGCTTAGCCATCCAGGTGAGTATCTACCCCTTCTTCCAAAAAGAAGAGTAATTCTAGGCTCCAAAAATATCTTTAAACCTAACCATGCTGGAGATTTTCCCTTTGCCTCACTGCCAGTTTCCTCCCTAGTAGGTGCCCCAGGAGGCGGACCTTTATGAACTACATCAAAGGATGCCCTTGACTTCTGGCTTCCAGTTGGGTTGACAGCACTGGTAGACGCTAGCAGGAGACTGGAAGGTGAGAGCGTGAGGACTGCGCATTTACTCTGCCGTCTCCTTTACCAGATTTCCAAAGGCTGCAGCTCCTATCCAGCTGACCTCTGCCCTACTGCACTCTCTCCAGGTCTGGTGGCCTCTTCCTCTCTTTACCTCTCTTCAAGGCCGGGTGGGCCGCTTGCTGTTGCCGCCCCTGGGGCATCACACCACACCGTGGTGTCCTTTAACCTGCCCCAACCAACATTAACAGCCCCCATAATAACGACCTAGAGTTTACTAACTCTGAAGGCCTACCCTGGAAAACTCAGCAGATTAAAATAGACAAGTGGTCTTCTATACTACACCTATCTGTCATGACATGACCATCCAGACGATGAGCAGAACTGAAATTAAGACTCTGTTCCTCAGAAGGAGTGGCACACGTGGAGTTCCCAAAGAACAAATGGGCAACAAGAACTATGCAAGAAGCAACTGTATGTTTCCATCAGATGGTATATAATTTAGAAAATAATGTTTGACCTGGGAAAATTATTTACCAGCGCAGAGAATATACACGAAACTGAAGATACAACTGGATAGAGGGAGGTCCCTACTGCCTCCCTCATTCCTCACATATCCAAAGTTTGATGGTGAACACAGCCCGCAGAGTAAGACACCTGCAGGTGAGCAGTGCAAAGAAAACTGCTGGGGTGCTGCCTCTCCTAACATCAGGCTGGGAGAGGAGCCACGTCAGCACCCCAGGCTTTATCCGGACCACACACTGCGACACCATGCTACACCACCGTCGTGACACACCTCCTCATCCTTCTCACCTTTCTCACTGCACCATCAGGCTAGGAAAAGGCCTGCACACGGCCTTTGACATATCATGAAATTTCAGAACACTGTTGAGGGCAGAACCTAAAAGCTTTGAGAGAAAAGGAAACCATCACATTAAAAGGATCAGAAATCAAAATGTTGCTGTTGGGAATTCAAATAACAGAAGCAGAAAATTAATGTAACTGCCATGTTTTGAAAAATGGTACCCTAGATTCACATATCCATCTAAACTATTAGGGGAGGGGTGAGAATAAAGACATTTTCAAACACTCAAGTTCTCAAAGACTACCTTTCATGCACCCTTTTTCAAGAAGGTACTGCAGAATATGCTCCATTGAAACCAGGAGGAAAATGAAAAAGGAAGCAGACATAGGATCTAACACAAGAAGAGATGAAAGGAACTCTTGTAATGATGGTGATGTGAAGTTCCCAGAATGATGGCTGTGAAGCTCAACTAGAGAGTAACTAGTTCAGATTAGAACCGTTACTGCGGAAGGAATCAAGAAAAGCAAGACAGAGAGAAAGAAAAGAGATCGACAGATTATCTAGCGTGTTTCACTGACTAAAATGAGTTTTATGGCTCTGAGGTTGAATTAGTGAGCCAATGATAACCTAAATCAACCACAAAAAGGCGATTATTACCCTAAGGGTAAAGTCAAGTAAAATGACAGGAGAATGTCCTCTGCTGGAACAAACAGCTGAAGTAGTTCAAGATGCTGGCCTCTGGTGAGTGGAAACCAAGGATGACAAGGTAAGTAGGGCAGAGGCTGCTTCTTCATGTTAAGTCCCAGAGCTTTACTTTAGCTTTTTAAACTAGACAGTTATCCTGTTAATAAGAAAGGAGAAAAGCCAAGAGACTTGGCTCTTGATGAGAGAGGATGTTTGGTTCCAAGACTGTAAAAGTGGAGATGAAAAGTGCAGCCATACGACCAGAAGGGTATACGGATAACATAGAGTAAACCTAACAACTACACTCATTGATCCTTAACTTCCAACACCCCCCAAAAATCACAATTCTACGCTGTTACTTGGGAACCATAGTTTATTTCGTTTCTCCCCGATAGACAAGTGGAAGTTTTAATTTTAAAATTACTCTTACAGAGGGGAGCGTATAGCTCAGTGGTAGTGTGTGTGCTTAGCACACACGAGGTCCTGGGTTCAATCCCCAGTATCTCCACTTAAAAACAAATAAATAAATAAACTTAATTACCTTCCCCATTAACCAAAAAAAAAAGAAAATTAAATTACTCTTAAAGAAAATGTTATAATCTTCTTCCTGTTTCTACTCTTCAAGGTATAAAGGTACATTAAACAAAGTCTCTGTCCCCAAAGAAATACTCATGGCCAGAGAAGAATATGGCACAGGAGATGTTCCTAAAGGAAAGTGATTTAGAAGCTTTCTATCACATAAGCATGATCAAGAACTGCACTGGATTTAGAACCGGTTTGCAGCTATTGCCAAAACACATGAGTGATACCGATAAGCCATTAGAATAAATTTCCATGACAACAGAAATAATGATCCCAGACCATCCTTCCAGAGAGGGAGCCAAGCCCATTCCCCACAGAGATGGCATATGCTCAGGGCTGGAATCCCTTTCAGGCTTTGAAAACTAACCTTGGCTGTCACGGGTGTCATAATTCACGCTCCCACTCGGCACCAACATGCCTGCTCTTTGCCAAGCATTCCCATCACTCCTTCCTGTGCCAGGCTGAGATACAGAGCTGTGGTTCTGTTTCCCGCTATGAAACTGAAGCTGCCTCAAGTGGAAAAAATGTGCGCATGTAAGAATTTGGAATGTACTAGTCGCCTTCCTCTAGAAAAGACCCAAAGTGTGCCATCTTAAACATCAATGAAAAAAAAATTAATATCTGAAATCTAGGGAACTGTGGGTTCCTGAATGTTTTAGTCATCTTAATGCAAAAGAAATTTCTTCTCCCTGTGTCAAACAATTTCAAATAGACCCTGTTTTACAGTTGGAATAATCTAAAGAACGCTTCCCAAAGGTAGTTCAGTCCAGTTATGGAAAAAATAGAGCACACAGTTGGCAATGGTAAATAACTTCCCCAGGTTAAAAAAAAAATTACATGCTACCTAACAGAATAACATGGTTGCAATACAAGCCAATCTGTTATTAATGCTGCCAATAATATAGATGAGCTCATCAGAATTAGTCTCAACACCTCAGGAGAAAGTGACTAATTCTATTAAAGGATGTGAGGTCTTTACCCAGCTTCTCTCCACCATGATGGCACAGGAACGAATGTGTAAAATCCCTGGTAGAGTAATCAATCTTTTTTTTTTTAAGAGCTTTTTGTCATACTGGAAGACAACGTACTATTATAAATAGGTGGCCATGCATCCCAGTTTGACTGGGAAAGTCCTGGTCTACATCCATTATCTTGGCATAATTATTAATAAAGTGTGCTAGTTTGGATAATTTAAAAAAAAAGAATAACATGGTTGCTTCTTACTTAGTTCCTTGTTGTGCATTTGTCCTTCAGGAATTTGGCGTGCGCTACCCATTCCTGAGGAACAGCATTCTCAGTGGCGTTCATCACCTGGGTAGTCGCGTCAAGTTAGACAGATGTTGGATGATCATGGGTCCATTTTAATCCGCTGAGTTTTCCAGGTAAGGCTTTTACAAAGAGTACTAGTATTAAACTCCAAGTCACTACTAATCATTACCCTTGGCTATATCATTGCTCTGGCACTGAAAACAACCGTCAAAGGCAGAAAAAGGGAGTGATGTCCCAAGAGGTAATTGAAGAACAATATTTGAAGAAGCTGAATTAGAGTGTCCCATTCACTCTGTTAACGTATTTCTCTTTGAAACCATGAAAGGATCTCTTCTGTACTATTTTTTAATATGTCAAACAAAAAAGTACTCACTGATTGGCTACTGCAGATTCAGCACTATGTTAAATATAGAAAACATTAAAAAAAAAAAACTTTCCACCATGATCTCTGGCCTTACATCCTCACTGATGAGATTATTCATTTGTTCACTCAACAAACACTAGTCTTAGTACTCACTATGTCCCAGGCACAGTGGTAGTTAATAAAGACAAATACAAAGATACCTACCAGAAAGTCAATCTAATGACAGACCCAGAAGCATATAATTAATAAGAGAATACACTAATGATTTGAGACAGGGACAGAGTGCTATGGACCAGCACCCAGGACACTAGAGGGCTAAATTCTGTGGGACAGATTTTAAGTCCCTTAAGATTTTCACACCCCAACGAGTGTAACCAATTCCCACAGAGAGGAGTGCATTTTCCTTCCGTGTGGGGATTTAGGCCACGGCTAAATGACCATCTGTCAGAGATGGTGTAGGTGGGGACTCCCCCCAAGTAAGAGGTTGGATTAAGTGTCCTTTAAAGTCCCTTCCAACTCTAAAATTATATAATTCCATGAGATCAGCAAAGGCTAAAACAGTAATAGGAAGCTTCAGAGAGGAAGGGAAACTTAAACCAAGTCCAGAATGATAGCTAGGATCAAAATAAACAGAAGACAGAGCATAAGGTATTTTTTTATTCCTTTCCCTAAATGTATGTCAGGTCAGTCTGCAAAACAGCTTAAAGGGATTAATAACTGGAACAAACAATAAAATGCTATACCTACTAGAATACTAAAATATAGTCAGAATCCTTTATTTTACTAGAAAATATTCGATAGCAAGCTTCTCTGAATCATGTATTTAAGAAAATCATTTCACAAAATATTAACAATACTATTTAAAATACTGACAGCCCTACTGCATTGAATTCCCAGTAATTACACAAACGCACTTAATGAAATGCAGAGCATGCCAAAAGATCTGGCAAGAGTTTACATTGTTATTTGATGAAGAATTTAAATAGTCAGGCCCTGAAACTTATATCTGGCTACACTTCTCATCAGCTTTAAACACTGATTTTCCACTTAAAGCAATTCTCTTCCCTCCTCTGTCCCCCTTGCTGTCCTATCACATGTGCCCACACTTCTCACTCAAGGTGTCTTCACTTACAGTCCTAAGATACCTGGCAGCCTCCAATGGTAAACCAAGAACACATCAGAAAGCCAAGAATTGAAATGCCTTTTAAAGGTTCCCCAATATTCACAGGAATACACAGTCTTGGGATAACATGTCCAGCAAGTCATTAAATTCACCAGAAAGTTAAATCTGTAGATACTCCAGTACCCTCCATATATTAAATCAAAAACGGGTTCTCAGTGTTCTCAGCACATCAAAATTATGTTATTTAAGCTGGAAAACAATGGCTGATCATTGCTGTTCATGCATAGGTGATGAAAATTTACCTAAACATAAAAAAGTGAGTGTGTGCCGGGGAAGAACTGGAGGGAAGAACTAGCAAGTTAGCAGGAGCAGAGCCAAGATGGCAATAGAGAGCCACTCCAATCGCCGTAAGCTTGGCAATAAGCAACTCAAAGAACTTTGGTTAAACAGAAATGCTACTTTTCAGTTATTCAGAAACAATTAGTACAATTCCTAACTTACCCCTTTTTCTGAGAGGTTCAGAGTAAGCAAATGCAAGGTCCTAGTATGGGAAGACTTCCAGTCTACAGGCATTACATGTCCATAATTATCTGTCAGGGCATTCCAAATCCTTAAAAAGAAAACTACAGTCAGTGAAAGTTAACATTCTATACGTCCTTTATTTAACAAATATCTAGTACTACAGTTAGAGAAAACAAAAAATATCAAAGCAAAGAAAAAACCAGGAAGCCTATTGTTTCTCAGAAAAACATCAACATAGTAGACCTTCCTAAATAAAACTAAAGGAAAACCATATTATGGGGCTGACAAGTCCTGAGGGGAAGTAGAAGAGAAGACTCCCCCGAAGTCAAGAGCGAACATTTCCACTGTACTGTGTGCTAGGCACTAGGTAAGCAATTTACATGTAGTCTGAGCAATTTACACACTTTAACTCTTTTAATGCCCCAAAACAGTATTAGGAAGAACCATTATTATCCCCACTTTACAGATGAGAAAAATAAAGCACAGGGAAGTTAAGTAATGTTTCCAGAACCACACAGGTAGTAAATAGACTGTATTTTACACTTACTTTTCTTCTGTAACTTCCAAACATACAGACTATTTTACAGAGTGAATAATCTCTTTCTAACCAAAGGTTTGTTCTCCCTTCTGGAGAAAGAATTCAGTCTCCATGAGAAACTAAGGTTTAATATCCAATTTATAATATAATAAGCTGAGACGAAGGTAAAAGGAAAAGGGAAAGAAAAGGAGTTCATGATAAAAGGCACAGGTTATATCCAATGCAGTTACCCTTTCTGATTATCAAACGGCATTTTCGCGAGACAATAGGGTAAAATGGAATTCAGAAAACAGAATCTTGTCTCCATTCAAACAATGAGTCTCTGGCCATGTCCCTTAACCTCTGTAGGTATTAGATGGACTTTGTAAAATGAGCAGCTTGGACAAGAATAACAGATGTTCCTTCCACCTCTATAACTTTAAGCATTAATTCAAATGAGTTATACTGAGGAAAATCCCAAACCACACCAAAATAGGGACAACAGACTCCAATTTCATGACCAAAATTCAGTTCCTGTCCCAAAGTAATAATCAGTATTAAAGAAAACAGGACATTCCATGAAAAAAAAAGTTTAGAAATATAGAGAGATGAAGTTTAATTAGGATAAGGAAAGTTCAATACTATATATAAGCTACTTAATGGCCAGAGATGTATACATAGATGTCATATACACATAGATGTCATAAAGGAAACAAAAAACCCTAACATTTGTAATAGATATCTAGCTGTGAATGAGCCACTAAATAACTGGGTGGGGTTTTTTCCAAGTGTGTAGGCCATGAGGACACAAAAACAAGGCCACCGGGGGCATAAAAATAAGAATGCAAGCTTTAAAATAGAGAAACAACAAACTGACTTAATGAAGTGGGATTTGGTGCTAAAGAGAAGCAGCAATGGGACCACAAATGCCAAAAACATAAAATCCCAAAATGATGTTTGGCTTCAGAATGCACATTAGCCTCAGTGAAAATGTGAACCCAAAAAGCTCTAGAAAACTGGCTCATTTACCCAGCAAATCTCCCATATGCATGGTTCATTTCTCTTCTCCCCTCTGCTGGAATCATCATCTCTTCTGATGCCAATGTGCTCAAACTGGATACAACAGTTCTGGATTGCTAAACTTGCTTGGTTTCTGGCCTACATCTTCCTGGGTAAAAGATTTTTCAAATACTGAGTAACTGACAATATACCTAACCCTGATCAGGAACTCAAGTAGGATATTCTAGCAGGTGAAGACAGTCCAGAGTTTGAGGTTTGTTTTGCCTGCTTGTTAACTTCATCTTAAGTGAGGCTAGAATAAAAGGACAAGTGTAATGGAAGAGTTCATGTAAGAGAAGTGGCTGTGGGGTGAATCTGATCTCCCAAGAAAGTGAAGGACAATTCACAGCCCTCTATCTCCACCAAGGTCAGATCAACTGTGGCTAGAAGGAAGTAGGGCAGAGTTAAGGAAAAGATTTCTAGAATTCTCCGGTCAAGATATGACCTGCTTTTATCCTTATCATAAAGTACTACAACCAGTCACAAACATCTAGCAGGATGGCAATTTTCCAAAGGAGGTCAAAGTTCTGCTGACGTTGAATCCTGCACCAGAACTTTCTTGAGTAAAGCCTTAGCATAGATAAGCACAATCTGTATTTAACCAAAACTAAAACTGGGACTCAGAAGTGAAATAAAGTGACCTAAGGCAAGGCACTATCTAAGCAGAGAATTCTCAACTCTCTCTAGTGAAAGGAGCAGGAAAGGACTCTATCAAGCAATGGAGAGCAGAAGTCTGCAACAGAAAGGGGCACTGAGAGTGGTGAGCAGCCCCTGCTCAGAAAAGATTTCTCATGCATTCTCAAATCAAGCAAGATGCATTACCACCAACATATCATCTGCTAAGAACCATTATCAAGAGTAACAAAAATTTTTTTGTTTTACATCAACCTAAGATTTAAGCAAAGGCTAAGATACACTACTTTTCAGACAGTACAGGTGAAGCAAAAATAGGGAATCTTAACTATTTGTCTACAAACTAGTAATCTACTTTGAGAAGTTACTCTTGATGAACCCAAATGTATAATATAATTTTAAAGTCAAAGTTATGTCCTGTGTCTAGTGATTCCAAGTAAATACATCTACATACACGTATAACACTACCTTCTCTTTGGGAGCAGACGTTTTAAAATGTCATTCTTTTGCCACTGACTGCATGCCTATCTGTGTATATTACTTTCCCATCATAAGCTCTTCCTTGTGTGTCTGGGCAGAACACTGTACAGAGGTACCAATGTAAAGATATGATCTCTAAGCACAGCTGGGCCTGAACCACTGCTAAGCCATGTTTACAGGCTCCCCATTCCCAACCCCCTCTTCTTGATAAATCTTCTGATTCAGAGAGAAAGGAGACCATCAGGTGAGTAGCCTTTCTATGCCCATGGATCTTTCTCCATCTCTCAAGAAGTCTTCCCTAACTTCTAATCTCTATTCCATCAATATTCTGAAAACCCATCCCTAACCCACGACCTCAGCATTTACTCCATTAATTTCACCCTTGGCCTCTCCAGGGCTCCTCTCCACCTACATTACAATATTCTCAAATTCCCTCACTCTCATCATTCCTCCTAGTATTTTTTTTTTTTGGAGTAAAACCATGACACATAATTACAACCTTACTTAACCAAATTATAACTGGGGTTCCGGCTGGTTAAATAGATTCTGTCCCTCCATACCCCTAACTCTCATAAATCCCTGTGAACTTCCTATCATTGCCCTTAGATAATTCTGTAATAATCACCTGTTTATGCACTGGTTTCCCCTCCAGACTAGGAGATCCTCGCTGTTTATAACCAGAACTTTTCGTTTTTGCCTCTGTGGGGGCTCGCACTCTACCTGGGTTATCAGATAAAGCCAATAAATTCCTGTAGCATAAATGCTGCTTCAACTTCTCAGTGCCTTTGCATGTGCTATATCCTTGAGCTAGGATACTATACATTTCTTTACCTGCTAGGCGAGCTCCCACTCATCCATGAGGATACAGTTTTCACATTTCTTTCTCTACAAAGTCTTTCCTTACACACAGACAAACATACACACGCCCTTTTAAATCTTCTATATTTTGCACATATATCCATTAGGGCGTTTGTCACACCCATACTAATGTTTGTTTACAAATCTAGCTCCCTCCTTAGGTTGGCTCTGCTTGAGAGGGGTAATGTCCAGTCATCTCGGTATTCCCAGAGCAAAGCAGCCTCTGGCACTTATCAGGAGCTTAATAAATGCTAGCTGAATGAATGAATGGCTACACATGTGCCCGAGGAGGCACTATCTCTAACTACGGGGCTCTGAACAAGGAAACTCCCCTCTAAACCAAACACGAGGTGGTTTTCGAGGAAGGAGTAGAGGTTTAAGGGCTTATGGGGGGCAGGGGACTAGGGGATTTAAATCACCAGGCGCTCAGAGGCCGAAAGCCCCAAGCAAGGAGGTGGGAGAACAGGGAGGGGCGGGACTAGGGAGTTGATGGAGGAGGAAGGAGGGCGCGGGGAGGAGTCTGTGGCGGGAGTCCCGCCAAGGCTGCGGACCGAGTGGCTGGACGAGGGGCAGGGGAGGCTCCCGCCCGCTCCCGGCAGGGCCCGCACTCACTCGTCCCCCTGCAGGAGGCTGCACTCGGTGATGGGCCGCACGGCCGCCCTCGGGGGCTCAGCGGCCGGACCCGAGGGGCGGAAACACAGGCTCAGCTTCTCCTCCAAGCTGCAGGCCAGCGCTGGGAAGCCGTCGCCTCCCCCGCCCGGCCCTGCCCCGGCTTCGGGGCTCGCGTTACAGTTCTCCTGGTCCTGGAGGCTCCGGGCCGGCTCCTGGAACTCATAGAAATCCTGCCAGTCCCCGTCCGCC